CATTTCCATTTTTGGAGTTAGAGAAGGATCTACAAGGCCAATAAAAAGTTGTGGGACTAGGTGTCTTGCACTATAATAACTAGCTGCAAGCCAATTAAATCCATACAACCAAATTACTCAATTAAATACTTATGATTCCTATTCCGACCACATTGCATCCCTTAATCCTTTAAGGCAACCATTTTCAAATCCCATACAATCACCACAACAGCAAGATCAACAACAACAAAAGGAAATTGGTAAATTTACTTTTGCAACACAAAATAATTTCTATTAAAATATCATCTAATTAATAAATTTATTTTTCCTTTTTATAATAACCAGAAGGTGAGCATTGTATAATAAACTTACTTTTGCAACACAAAATAATTTCTATCAAAACATCACCTAATTAAATAAATTTATTTTTATTTTATAATAAACAGCATGTAAGTATTATACTATAAATTAACTTTTACAACACTAGATAATTTTTATTAAAACATCATCTAATCAAATAAATTTTATTTTATTTTTATGATAACAGTACGTAAGTATTATACTATAAATTTACTTTTACAGCACAAAATGATTTCTATTAAAATGTCACCTAATCAAATAATTTATTTTTATTTTTTTTTATAATAACCAGTTGGTAAGTGTTATACTATAAATTTACTTTTACAGCACATGATGATTTTATTAAAACATTATCTAACCAAATAATTTATTTTTTATTTTTTTTATAATAACCAGATAGTAAGTATTATACTATAAATTAACTCTTACAACACAAAAATTTTTATTAAATATCATCTAAATTAATCAATTTAATTTTATTTATTTATAATAAACCAGTTGGTAAGTATTATATTATAAATCAACTTACAACACAAAATAAACTTTATTAAAACATCAACTAATTAAATAATTTTATTTTTTATTTTTTTAATAATAACCAGGGGGTAAGCATTATACTATAAATTAACTTTTACAACACAAAATAAACTTTATCAAAACATCATCTAATTAAATCAATTTATTTTTATTTTTATAATAACCAGGGGGTAAGCATTATACTATAAATTAACTTTTACAACACAAAATAAACTTTATCAAAACATCATCTAATTAAATCAATTTATTTTTATTTTTATAATAACCAGGGGGTAAGCATTATACTATAAATTAACTTTTACAACACAAAATAAACTTTATCAAAACATCATCTA